GGAACACCCACACACGGTCACCGGAGGAGGAGTGGGCAGAAAGCCTCTCCTGCATTCCAAAGGCACTTTTCCTGTCCTCCGTGCTCCTTACGGGAGACGCTCCCCGTCACGCGCCCACCCCCCATCCATTTGCTCCTCTTTCATCTTTTCCTGCCGAGACCCGATTGCTCCCCTGCCTCTAGCAGCCGATCACAGATCCGGAGCATTTAGGAGACCGTGAGCAGCGCAAAAGGCCGGCAGTTCCCCCCACACACACACACACACACCGTGTTTCTTCTGCCTCCCATTGTGTTAAGAATCGGGGCGTTTGTTTGAAGGCTTGGGAACGGGCGGTTGGATCGCCAGAAAAGCGTGGCCTTGGAGGATCAGGCCAAAGGGCCTCTCGGCTCTTTCGGGCGTCTGGATTTCCGGCAGTGGGTGGCCTCGGAGCAGTTCCGTACCAGTTTTTGCTGCAGGTACTCTCGGTTTTGGGGTGGAACATCAGAAATGGCTGGATGGCTCAGTGGTTTAGGTCTCTGGCTGTGGAGCCAGAGGTTGGGAGTTCGATTCCGCTCCATGTGCCTCCTTGACTTAAGAGCTAGACTCAATGATCCATAAGGTCCCTTCCAACTCCGCAGTTCTAAGATGACGGCAACGATGATGATCATGCATTGAGTACAGACGTGTTTAACAGCCTAAGCAGCAGAGCTTGGACAGTTTGAGACCACAACTCCCAGAATCCCCAGCCAGTGTGGCCAAGGGGGGATTCTGGCACTCACGTTTCCATGCTCTGTAGCCCATGTGCTTTTCCACTGGAAGCCCTACGGCTCCCCGGTATGTCCAGAAGGAGCCCCCTTGTCTTGCACATTGTGTGCATGATCCGTGTTCGCCAGCCGCATTGCACTCGTGGCAAGCAGAGACCAGTTGCTCTCCTGCATAAGGTGTGGATTCTTCCCACTCCCAGGCTGTTCTGGGATGGGTCGCATTCTGTCATTCGGGACCATCATCTGGTGGTCTCTCTCTCTTACTCTCTCTTTTTTGTGTGTGGGAAGAACCAGGTTCTCTCAAGAGAGACCAAAAGGTCCGTCAAGCGGCCAACGCCCCGTGGCGCCTTCACCCAACGCTTCTAGCCTTGGGGTCGCGTGAATGCCTGAAAGGGGGGAACGAGCGCCAAGGGGTCCTGGGTCAAAACTTCTCCCGGCGGCCTGAGGCCAGCCACTCTTCGCCTGGCCCATTTCTCTTTACCGCTCTGTGACGGCAGGGTTGTGAGACCAGGCTGGTCTGACAAAGTTGTTGCGAGATTACGGCGATAATGGATGGGAAGTGCTCGGAGCAGTTGGAAATAGCATTAAATATTAGCATAACCATCAGTAAAAAATAATTTGTTAAATTGGATTTTAATAGCATTATAATGGAGACATTTTATATGCATTTGCTAATTTAACTCTGTTTCTCTCTCTCATTTATATATCCTATTGGTGCTGGGGCGGCCAGGTTAGCCTTCCATCTTTTGGGCACGAGACGTCACGCCCTGTGTGGTTTGTGTTTCGATGCAAAACACATTGTGTGCCATCCCCCCCCCCATTGTTGCTTCACCACTTGAGGGTTGTACTTATGGCCTGCCTGAAGTCTCAGCCTTGCCTAGTCAGGCAGAGGTGGCCATGATCCGCTTACCTTTCCTTCTGCCATTCTCACCTCTGGGGGCTTGGCTCGGCTCGGTTGCTCCTTGCACACCTGAAAGGGCACCACCCCTTTCCGATCTGTCCTGGGAGCGCCGTTTAAGGGGAGGGGGAGAATCGATGGGGGTGGCATGAAGAGATCTGAGTGCTGTGCATGCTAGAGGGAAAGACTACAGGGCCCATGAGCAGCAGGCAGGACCCAGAATCCCCAGGCTTTGTGGCCTTTTGCCTTTCTGCAGCGTCTTTTGGTTTGCTCCCTGCTTCTGGCCACTCCTCTTCTGCCCGGCCTGGTTGCCCAACCAATGCAGCCGGACTTGGACATGGCATGGGGGGGGGCTTTGAGGAGGGAGGGGTGAATGCCAAGCAGGGCAAAAAACCATCTGTCCCTGGAAGCAGGCCTGGTCTAATTGTCCTTAATTATGGCCCATGCCGTTCCTCATCTTGGAGTCTTCAAACAGGAAGCCCCAGCGGGAAATGGGCTTCTTTGAGGAAGTCTGGAGCCAGAGTTGTGTGTGTATTTTGGGGGGGGGGTGGTGAATGGGGGAGAGGGAGTTGGAGGGATGGGTGAGGAGGACAGTTCCCCCCGCCCGCTTGCATCTTTTAACCCCTTCCTTGCCTCTTTCCCAGGATGAGACGTCAGTGAGCAGTGAGGATTTTGATATGAGCGACTCCACATGGATGTCAGCTGACCAGCATCTTAACTCCAGTTTGAGTCCAAGCCAGGAGGAAGGCATGCGCAGCCCACAGAATATCCAGAGTCAGGAGGACGGTGAGTGACTCTTAAGGACTCTTCTTTCAGCTGGGGGGGGGACTGCGCCCCGATCTGATCAGGTGCCCCCCCTCCCACTTACAGGAGGGGCTGTGTTTGTGCGTCTCTGAGGACTGGAAAGTGGGTCCAGATGCTGGAAAGGTGGAAAGTACATGTTCTGCACCTCTGGTGGACGGGACGCCCTTTGCCTGCAGGCCGAGGGCAGCCGATTCTGCCGGGTGGATGAGGGAGAGGGCTACCTTGGCACCCGATATAATTCCCTGAAGATCGCTCTGAAGGTGGTTCGGTCACTCTTCCCCTGAACTATTACTCAGTGGATTATGCTGTAAACTCTGAGGTGCATGTGTCAATTGCAGGATAAAGTACAGGATAAAGAGGGAGGGAGAGACGGAAGGAGGTACCCCGGCAATGCTGGATTGTGCCAGTTCAGCCTATAGGCAAGGAATGTCCTTTTTAAGTACATAGAGAGAGTGTGTGTAAGATAGGATTTTCACCACTGGTTGTGCAGGCAGTCTGCAGCACTAATTGAGTGACCACTTTATCCTTCATTTTTTTTAATTTACCAGATCATAGCTGTTGTTTAAATTTGGAGAAGGCTGGATATGACCTTAAGCGTTAAGACCTTACGTTATCCTGGAAATTAGTCGTTCTACAGTTTTAATCTCAAAGTGTGTGTGTTTGTGTTTTCACATGTCAAGAAAACTCACAAAAGGACCTGTTTCTGCTTTTGACATTCGTCTCCCTTGGGCCACTTCTGTGGAGGCCTTGCCTGTTTGTAGCCTCTTTCAGAAATCCCATTTCCTCGTATAGACTCTGTCGCTTGGTGGCCTGATGCTACCCAAGGGCCCGTTCTCCAAGTCATTGGGCCATCCTATTAACCCCAAGCGGGTCTGCGTGTGGAAGGAGAGCCAACAGGGGGCCAGCCTGGCCTCCGGTGGGAGGGAGTTGCAAAGGCTGGGAGCAACCGCAGAGGAGGCCCTGTCCCGGGGGTGGTGGTGGAAATTCTGGGCTTGTTAGTTTGGAAGGAGGTAGCTTTCCTAAGTCCCTGAATAGCAGTCCTTCTCAGGAGGCAGCTGGTTGGGTTTGTGCAGGAGGGGGAACCTTGGGGAAGGGGGAGTGCAGGTCATTGAGGAAAGGTCAAAGGTGAGCTGTGGGGGGGGCGGGTGGAGGCCCCGCCGGGAAGGGGAGGTGTTGCGAGAGCTCTGCCAAACGAACGAACGAACGGGTTCGCTCCCAAGAGCAAATACAGGCGGGTGGCGGAAGGCGGGGAGTTTGGGTTGAAGTTCACCTCCCTGGCATGTGTGGGCAGAGCTGGCGGGAGTGACTCTTGCTCCGGTTTCCTGGAGCGCTTGAATCCCTTCTTGTCCCCCGGAGGGAGGGAGGGGTCCGGGAGGGAAGGCTGCTCGGTCCCCAGGAGCCCCCAGCGCTGGCCCGGGCGGCTGATCTGACCGAGGGGGACGGGGAGGCAGAGCCTGCCTTCGGAAGAACAGCCTGCCTGTGTGGAGGCAAGAAAGCCCTATTGTCGTGTCGGAGGGCTCTGCTCCCGGGCAGAAAGCAGGAGGGGGAGGAGGGGGAGGAGGTGGAGGAGGANAAAAGGCTCCAGAGTCTCCCTTCCCCGCGGGGGAGCCCTCCTTTGACCACAGCTTTTGCCGGCTGGCTCCGAGACCTCCGAGACCTTCCCGGCAGCCGAAGACACCTGTCTTTTCCTGGCCCCGGAAATAAAAGGAACTCCTCCTGAGGGACTGGTGGAGGGACTGAATGAATCAAGACTGAAAGGAAAGAAAGAAAGAAGGAAGGAAGGAAGACAGAGAGGGAGGGAGGGAGGCAGGTTCTCAGACAGGCCCCCGCTGCCTGCAAGCCACCATCCTCCCGGACGTCCCCCGCCCAGCGTGTGGTGGCCCGGAGGGTGCCGGACGAGGCTGCTCCAGTTGGCAGTACGAGGGGGGCTTTTATTTGAGATCCTGCAGGGGAGGGGTGTGTGTGCTCAAGGCTTTCTCTGCCGCTTAGGGAGGGTCAGCAGAGGCAGTGCCCTGGCGAGGGGATCCCCACCGCTGGGGAGGAAATCTGGGCCCGAGGGAGGAGGATGGGAAGGCCCCCTTACCATCCTGCGCCGAAAGGCTGGCTAGCTTTCCCTTCCCGGTCCGGGCGGAATACCAGAAATGACTATACCCGTGGCAGCAGAGCAGTCCGTGGCTGACCCTGGCCTCTGCTCCAACTTGGCCACCAAATTCCCAAGCCGCCCTTGCAGGATGCTGGGGCCTCACCAGTTCTCCTCTTAGCTCCTAACTTAGCATGGAAGAAGGGAGTGCATGGATCCTTCCTGACCTTGAATGGGAGGGGAGGCACTGCAAGATTACAGACCAGCAGTTTTACCCTGGGGGCTTGCATTCCAATGCAGAAGGAAGCAGAAGGGGTATGTGTGTGTTATTGTGAGCCTTGTTTACATGTCCTGAGTGTGGCTGCGGCAGCTTTATTTGCAAGGCCCCCTTTTAATCCCTGGTCCCGGGGTCTCTGTTACAGTTTTGTAGGTTGACATGTGAGGTTTAGAGGAAAGGAAAGAGATGGAAAAGCTCACAGCGGGACACCCATGCCTGCTTCTTCTGCTCTGCCTTTCCCAAATGTTTGGGCTGCTCTGCCTGAGGCTTCAAAGTGGGACCGGGAAGCTTTGCAGACGCGAGACCCATGGAGTTTGGACCGGAGAAGGGGCCGAACCCAGGGAAAGGACGGCGAACAGGCTGCCCCAAAGCGGGAAGCCAGAGGAGAGAGTAGAGGAAACGGCTGTGGGAGGCAACGCCAGGGAGCAGCGCTCCAGAGAGGGTGGGTGGAGGGGGAGAGAGAGAATAAGAGACATGCACACATGCACACACACAGACGGACAGATGTCTTGGTGTCTGGAATACACTGGAAGCCTTTCAGTTGGATGCTCGTTGGGTGGGTTTGCGGCTGGAGGGTTAAGACTGGACTCCCAGGGAACCCAAATTCAAGTTCCACCTGTGCGGTGAGGTCTCTCTTGACCTCCACTCTCTGAGAAGGAACCTGGGTGATAAAACGTCCTCTCGGCACAATCCTAATAAACTCAAAGTCATTGTGGTTTCCTGCTGGCCCATTCTAATTGAAATTTGTGACGTATTTTATCAACGAAAAAAGCAAAGTGTGCTGCTTATATACCTCCCCATGGTGTTTAAAGAGGTTTAAAATTCAATTGCCCCCCCTCCCTCCAGCAAGCTGGGTACTCCATTAGGTTTAAAATTCAATTGTCCCCCCCCCTTCCCTCCAGCAAGCTGGGTACTCCATTTATTAACCTCAGAAGGATGGGAGGCTGAGTGAACCTCAAGAGCCAGCTACCTGGGATTGAACTCTTGGGTCTTGAGTAGAGTTTTGGCTGCAGTACTGCAGTTTGACCACTGTGCCATGAGGCTGTGAAATACTGTACAGGCTCTGAATTTATTGGTGTGTTTTTTTTAATGCAGGATAATGCCTTTTTTAAAAAAGCCCAGTGCAAACGGTTCATGCATCAGATCTAAATTTTAGCATAAATAACTCTGAATGGATAGCAGCAATGCAGTTAAACAAACTTTCCGGTCTTCTTTGGAGCGAGGCAGTTTGGAGTGAGTGATGATGCCAGAAAGAGAACACTTTGCTGTTTGATGATGATACGGGCCATTATCAGGGACTGCCCTTTCCCTGCCCTGTTGTGGGGTGGCGAGGGGGGTGTAAGCCCTGGTTGTTTTATTTTCTCCAAAGGCTGTACCTGGGGGTCGCGCCCCGGCAGCCCTTCCAAAGTGATGGAGCCCTAAGGTGATGATCTTCATGGGATAGCCAGCTGGTGCTTGGGGCTTTGGGCTTTGCTGTCTTAAGGCCACCACTTGGATGGTTTTGCAGTCGAGCTGCCCTGAACTTTGAGGAAGAAGAAAAAGGGGTCAGACTTTCTGGCCAACGAGAGGGTCTCTCAGGCGCAGAAATGCTGAACGAGTTACTGCGCATTGGGCATTTGTTGGAAAGGATCTGTTTATTATTTTTTCCAGTCTTCTTTATTTGAATGATAATGCTTTGGAAGGATTGCAAGGGGAAGGTTAAAACATAAAGAATAGAGCCATACGGCGTGAAAATATAATGCAGGACAGAATAAAAGTAGCGACAGAATTAAGAGAAAGTGGATGGTTGTAAAAGGAAGGGTTTCTGTTATTGGCTGTGGAAGGAGCTCTGGTGGCGGGGGGGGGAGAGGCAAGTACCTGGTGTCACACACACACACACACACGTGTGTGTGCGTGTGTGCACTCCACCAGTGCATACACAGATCAACACAATCCCTCTGACAGCTTTACAGGATATTTATTTATTTAATTAATCAATCAATCAATCAATTAATTAATTAATATCCCACCTATCTGGTCTTGCGACCACTCTAGGCGGCTTCCAAATAAGAGTATGTTTTACTGTAATGCTTCCCGTTGTCCTCCGTGATGGATCCTCATCTGATGAAATTCATTCGCTGTCCTGTCCTTCTCTCTCTTTTTCTGTAGCCAGAGGATCCATTTTTGGGAAAGGAGGTGGGGAAGCAAAGCCAGCTCATTCTGGCCCTGAGCCCATATCCCATTATAAGCCAGTGGAGGAAGTAAAAATGACCGGAGAGCAATCCGCTTTGAACCAAGGGTGCTTTCAGGCGGATCTTGCTCCTCTGCACAGCTTTGCTGTCTTCTCCTCCTTAACAAGTTTCAGAAGGATGATGGGTAGATGATGAAGCCACTCTCCCCCCCCCACACACACACAATAAAGCTCCAACGTTTGAGGCAGCACTTGATAAAAGGCTGCATCTGGGAGCACAGCCTAGTCCGTTCTACTTCCGAGGGAAGGGCAGACACAGCCTCATGCTCAGAAAGGGGCAGCCATCCATCACAGAAATTTTCCCCCACCTTCCCTTTCTTTTTTTTTTAAAGGGATGTCCTGTGGCATGAAGCTACTTCTGACTTGTGGTGGCCTCAGTAGGGGGGTTGAGGGAT